TATATATATATATATATATATATATATATATATATATATATATATATATATATATATATATATATGTATATATTATATATATATATATATATATATATATATATATATATAATATTATATACAGTATATATATATATATATATATATATATATATATATATATACATATATATGTATGTATATACAGTGTGTGTTTATATATATATATATATATATATATATATATATATATATATATATTTATATATATATATATATATATATATATATATATATATATATATATATATATATATTATATATATATATATATATATATATATATACATACATACATACATAAAAGTTATAATTACATTATTAAAATAATATTATTAAGTACATACTTAAAACATTAATAGATATATAAATAAATGTAGCAATTTAGACTAAATTATATAAAATGATTTTTGTAATGTGTTTTTGTATTGTTATTTGATTGAACTGTTTTTTAGAGGTTTAATAAAAATTGTAAATGCGAACTTACAAGAGAAAAACTGAAAAAGGACTTTATCCAAAAGAAGTAGTAATAGAGGCACCAAGCTATGTTATTGATGGAAGAGTAACACCAGTTCGTGTATCAGCAAAAAAGTTTGGAATCCACTACTCGACTATTTCTCGTTATATAAAAAAAGTTAAAAAAGCTGTTGATATGGGAATGCCACTACCTTATCCTGGATATAAAAAGAATCAAGTTTTTACTTATGAACAAGAAATAGCTATTGCTTCATATATATCAATAGCTTGTGATTTCTTTTTTGGATTATCACCATATGAAACAAGAAAGCTTGCATTTGAATGTGCAGTAAAATATGGTATTATTTTTCCTAAATCGTGGTTAAAACATTTCATGGCTGGTCATGATTGGATGAGAGGGTTTTTAAACTGACATCCAAGATTGTCTATCAGAACTCCAGAAGCAACAAGTCTTGCACGAGCAACTAGATTTAATCGTGCTAATGTAGGTGTTTTTTTTCAAAAATTATCAGATGTTTTAGATAGACATCATTTTTCTGCATCAAATATCTTTAATTTTGATGAGACTGGTATCACCACTGTGCAAAAACCAAACAAAATAATTGCTTGTAAAGGTATTAAGCAAGTGGGTGCATTAACTTCTCAAAAGCGAGGGACATTAGTGACAATGGTAATAGCCGTAAATGCATATGGCAATAGTGTGCCTCCAATCTTTCTTTTTCCAAGAAAGAAATTCTTTGATCTTTTTATTCGTGATGGGCCAAATGATTGCATCGGTGCTTCGAATGGATCAGGCTGGATGAATGAGGAGTGCTTTGTTACTTACATAAAACACTTTATTTGACAAGTAAAGCTATCAAAAGAAAGCCCTGTGTTTAGACAATCATTAATCTCATTTATCTAGTCAATTAATAACATTGTATAAAGATATTGGTATAGTTTTGCTTTCTTTGCCTCCTCATTGCTCGCATAAGTTGCAACCTCTAGATAGATCTGTATTCGGACCATTTAAAAAATGCTTAGCGAATGCACAAGACTCATGGATAAAAAGTAGTCCAGGGAAAACAATGAGTATATGTGATTTACCAGGATTTGCAAATATAGCATTACACCATTCATTTACACAACAAAATATATCTTATGGTTTTAGAGTGGCAGGAATATTGCCATATAATAAGGATATATTTTCAGACACAGATTTTGCTCCATCATTTGTTACGGATTGTCCAGCAACCCAATCTAATGCAGCAATTGATATTAGTATATCAACTTCAACCTCAGATGCAATTCCATCTCCAGTTTCAAAATTTTTTCCCCTGAGGTTAAAAGACTGCTACTAAAAGCATGACTCAGGAAAGAAATACTCACTAGATCATAGAGAAAGCATACAGATATACTCACAGATACACCAGTAAAACAGCGTCTTATGGCTGAAAAAGAAATTAGTTCTAGAAAGCAAAAATTTGCTAGTACTTCTGCATCAAAAAAAAAAAAAATAATTGTTGACTTGAAATGTAATGAAACTCTTCAGTTTCTTTAATGCTAGTTTTTTTTTTTTTTTAATGAGCCTTTATTGCTTAGAATTTTTTTTTTTATTATTAACAAAGTTAGATTATTGTTTATTTTTGTGAAAGTTGTATTTTATATTATTTATAAAACTACTGTTGCATTTTTATAAATTGATTTAATGTTTACTGAATAACTAAAGGAATACTTTTTAAAAAAAAACACTTAAAAGTTTAAATAATATATGAGCTTAAATAATAATCCTCATTATTTTCTTTCTTCAGTTTTTAAAGTCTTTAAATGTAAGCATTAGTTTACTAAACATGTCAGGTACATGTCAAGTCTAAAATACTACTTTTTTTTTATTTTAATTATAAGATTTTGTTGCCAAATAAAAATTACTGATTAACTAGTAATTTTTATGCGAACTCTGCAAAGCTTATACTTTAAAAGTATTGTGTTGCAACTTGCCATGTGCACTGTTGCAATTCGCCCTGGTGCGGGGTAAAATGCAACATACTTTTGTTTCACTATTGCGGAATAACTAAATTTGATATTTTATTTATCAATGTTGGATTAATAAGTAACTAAAATCTATTTTATAACTCTGAAAAATAAAATCAAAAAAATATATATTTAAAGGGTATAAATTGCGTTTTTAATTTTTGTTGCAGCCAACCCCGGTCTCCCCTTTTAACGTTTTATATTCAGGAACTAAATATGACATAAAAAGCATAAAAATAAAACATTAATTTAGTGTTATAATTCATTATAACACTAAATTGTTATAATTCATACACTTCTTATTTTATGATTAGCTACAATATATTATTGCAAATGTTTTTTAATTTATCTATTAAATATAACAGTAAGTATGCAAATTTTAAATGAAAAGAAACAAAGTGCAAAACAAGGTGTAGAAAATAATCTTTAAGTAAAAGTATCTTAATTGAATGATAAGACCTACTTATCATTCAATTAAGATACTTTGTTAGATATAAAAAACAAATTGTCCTAAAAACTGTTAAGCTTACTAGTAGAATCTGGATGGTTCAGGGTCTCAGTATCTAAATAAAAATATTACTTTATATTTTATTTGCATTCATTTTTATATAACTTAATCCATGATTCAAAATCATAAATATAACCAATAAAACTTCTGCATGAAGAAAACTTATGGTTTAAAATCTACGACAAAAAAACTAATCAATACGTCCCAAACTGCAATATTAAAAATTTAATAGTTAATCAAATTTAATCACGTTTTATATTCAAAAACAAATAAGACACAAAAATATAAAAAAAGTAACAATAATAAACTGTTTTATTTAATTGTCTGGCATGATCAAACACCTCTTAAGGCAACTTTAAAAAAAAAAAAAAATACTATACCTTTAATATGATATATTTAGCAAAAATAAATTATTGTGAATGTTTTTTAATTTACCGATTAAATATAACAGAAAATATATGAATTTCACGTTAAAAAAAATAAATTGCAAAACAAGTAATAAAAAATCCTCTTCAAAAAAATTGCTGTATAAAACCTCCTTTATTTGATCAAAAAAAAAACAAATTATCTTTAAAACTGTAAAGCTTACCAGAAGATGCTGGAGGATTAAGATTCTCAGTATCTATAATAACAAAAATATTACTATTTAATCTATTTGTATTCATTTTTAAATAACTTACAGCATGAGTCGACATCATAACTACAACCACCTAAACACAATTTGGAAACTTAAAGTTAAAACCAACAACAAAACCTCAATTCAAGAAGTCCCAAAATGCAGGACTGAATATTATAAGTTTAAACAACTTTAAAAACGCTGATTTTTAAGAACTTATCATTAAACAAAAAATAAATTTTTTAATCTATTTGTATTCATTGTATATAATTTACTGCCTGAATCGACATGATAATTATAACCAATTAAACACATACATGTTAGGAACCTAGAGTTAAAAATCTAGAACAAAAAAACTAAACAATAAGTCCAGAACTGAAGAAATTTAATTATTTAGGTTAAAATAGATTAATAACGTATTTAATTCAAAAACAAAATAAAATATAAAAAATAAAAAAATAAATAAAATCTTGCTGTTTTAATTCATTGTAAGGTATGATGAAGCACTTCTTAAGGCGCTATAAATTGATATAAATAAAAAAAACTGGTTGCGTTGTAAGACCTCCGTTATTGGATAAAACAAATAAATCATCCTTATAACTGTTAAACTTACCAGAAGAAACTATATGATTGGTATTCTCAGTATATAAAATAAGCATAATATAACTTTTAGATCTAATTGTTTTTATTTTTATATAAATTACTGCATGATTTGACTCCATATTTAAAACTAATTAAACAGCTGCATGTTAAAAAATTAAAAATAAATGTCTACGGCAGAAAACCTAAACGATAAGTCCCAAACAGAGGGATTATAATTTTGTAAGTTTAACAATATTAGGAACATTTTATATTCAAGAACTAAATATGTAACAAAAAATACAAAACTTAACAATAATTTGCTTATTTAAATCATTGTGGAGTATAATCAAAGATCTCTTAAGGTAGCATAAAAAAATAAACTAAAAAAACTATATACTTATTAGGATAGGGTTAGCAACAATATAATATTGTAAACAATTTTTAATGTATCTATGCAATATAACAGAAAGTATACGAATTTTGCGGTAAAAGAAACATTTGCAAAACATGGAATTTATAAACATCTTAAAGTAAAAATACCTTGATTGCTAATAAGGCTTAACTTTTTATTTTATAAATGTTTGCTTCCACCAACAACTAAGTAGAGTTGGAGGTTACTGAAATGGAAAAGATGAAGATTGTAGAGCAAAATATCGATAAACAGACAACTTTAAAGATTGCAAACAATTTGAATCAATAAATATACTATTAAAGCAATTTACTATTAAAAATGTTAGCAATAAATTATTGAAAATTTTAAAGCACCAATATACTATCGTAAAAATTTTTAAAATTATCTATTAAAAATAAGAGAAAGTATATAATTTTCTAGTTGATTGCCTAATAAGAATTGACTTTTTTTTTTTTAAATGTTTGCTTCCACCAACCACTAATCAAAGTTGAAGTTTACTAGCAGGAAAAAGAAAAAGAATGTAGACCAAGATAACAATGGACAGACAACTTAAAAGATTGCAAATTAAATGAATCAGGAAATATACTATTGTAGCAAAACACTATTGTAAATTTTAGCAATGAACTATTGCAAATTTTAGAGCAGCAATATACTAATGTCAATATTTTTAAAACTATCTATTAAATATAAGAAAAAGTATATAATTTTCTAGTTGAAAAGAATTCAAGCGTAATACATGGAGAAGAAAAACCTTTTAAAATTATCTAAAATGAATACACTTAAAAAACCAGAAACTTATTTTAATATAATTAACAACAACTTATTGTTGTAAAGAATTTTTAGTTTATCTTTGCAATATAACCGAAAGTATGCGAATTTCAATTTAAAAAAACATGTTGTAAAACATGGAATATAAAATACTCTTAAAACAGAAGCAACTTAAATGCCTGGCAAAACTTTATTAGATAAAAAAAGCTAATCATCTACTATTAGCTAAGCTTACCAGAAGATGATGGAGGATTGAGGTTCTCAGTATCTAAATTTAAATAATTTTTTTTTTTAATTTATATGTATTTATTTTATATAACTTATTGCGTGATTCGATATTAATATAATAACCGATCTAATATCTGCATGTTTAAAAAGTAAGGTTAAATATCTATGACTAAAAAACATATCGACAAGTCTCAAGCATAGGGATTTAAAGTTTGTAAGTTAAACAACATTAAAAATATTTTATAGTCAAATACCAAATGTAAACAAAAAAAGTAGAAAAACATATTAACAATTGTTCTGTTTTAATTCATTGTCGTTTATGATCAAATACAGCTTAAAGCAATTTTAAAATATATACCGAAACAACCATACACTTAATATCACAAAGTTAGCAACTACATATTATTGTAAATGTTTTTTAATTTATTTATGCAATATAACAAAAAGTATACAAATTTAATGTTAAAAGATACAAAGTACAAAACAAGGAGTATTAAAAAATTATGCAATAAATGTATCTAAGTTGCGTTATAAAGCCTCCTTTATTGGATGAAAAAAACAAATCATCCTGATAACTGTCAAACTTACCAGAAGAAGCTGGATGATTGGTATTCTCAGTATCTATAAAAAGCAAAATAATATTTTGAATCTATTTGTATGCATTTTTATATAAATTACAGCATGAATAGATTTCATAATTATAACCATTAAAAGGACTGCATGTTAAAACCATAAGGTTGAATATCTACGACAAAAAATCTAAAAAAATAGTCCCAAACATAAGGATTAAAATTTTGTAAGTTAAACACTATTTATTACCATTAATGCTCAAAAACTAAATATGCAAAAAAAAAAAAAAAACTTAACAATAATTTGCTATTTTAAATCATAGTGGGGGATGATCAAAGACCTCTTATGGTAGTATAAAACACTAAAGTAAAAAAACTATCTACTTATTACAATAGGGTTAGCAACAATATAATATTGTAAACAGTTTTCAATGTATCAAGGCAATATAACAGAAATTATACGAACTTTGCGGTAAAATAAAAAATTTCAAAAATATATATATTTTAATCCTCTTAAAATAAAATTACCTTGATTGCCAAATAAAACTAAACTTTATTTTTTTTATGTTTGCTTCCAGCAACCACTAATCAGAGTTAAAGGAAACCGAAAGCAAAGAGATGAAGATTGTAAAAAAAAATAAAGATGAAAAGAAAACATAAAAGCTGCAAATAATTTGATCTAGGAAATATACTATTGTAGCAATATACTGTTGTGAATTTCACCAATGAACTATTCTAAACTTAATGGCAGCAATATACTATTGTAAAACTTTTTGAAAATATCTATTAATTTGATAAAAAAGTATTTAATTTTCCTGTTAAAAAGAATAAAAGTGGAAAACATTGAGTATAAAATCCTTTGAAATTAACTAAAATAAATACACTTAAAAAACAAGACACTTATTTTGTTATGATTAGCACCATATATTGTTTTAAAGAAATTTTAGTTTATCTTCGAAATATAACACAAAGTATACGAATTTCAATTAAAAAAAAAAATGGTGTGAAACATGAAATATAAAATCCTCTTAAAACAAAAGCACCTAATTGCCTGATAAAACCTACTTTATTAGTTAAAAAAAAAAAAAACATTTTAAAATTTGCTATGCTTACCAGACGATGATGGAGGATTGGGGTTCTCAGTATCTAAATATAAACAAAAACTTTCTTTTTAATCTATTTGTATTTATTTTTCTGTAAATTACTGTGTGATTAGATATTAATATAATAACCGATCAAATATCTGAATGTTTAAAAAGTAATGATAAATAGCTATTACTGAAAAACATAACGATAAGTCTCAAGCCTAAAGGATTTAAAGTTTGTAAGTTAAACAACATTAAAAACATTTTATAGTCAAATACTAAATGTAAACAAAAAAAGTAGAAAAACTTATTAACAATTGTTCTGTTTTAATTCATTGTCGTTTATGATCAAATACAGCTTAAGCCAACTTTAAAATATAAACCGAAACAACCATACACTTACTATCATAAAGTTAGCAACTACATATTATTGTAAATGTTTTTTAATTTATTTATGCAATATAACAGAAAGTATACAAATATTATGTTAAAAGATACAATGTGCAAAACAAGGATTATAAAATAATTATGTAATAAATGTACCTTAGCTGCATTATAAAACCTCCTTAATTGGATAACAAAACAAGTCATCCTGAAAACTGTTAAACTTACCAGAAGAAGCCAGATGATTGGTAATCTCAGTATCTATAATAAGCAAAATAATATTTTGAATCTATTTGTATGCTTTTTTATATAAATTACAGCATGAATAGATTTCATAATTATAACCATTAAAAGGACTGCATGTTAAAAACATAAGGTTGAATATCTACGTCAAAAAATCTAAACAATAAGTCCGAAACATAAGGATTAAAATTTCATAAGTTAAACACTATTAATAACAATTAATATTCAAGAACATAATATGTAAAAAAAAAAAAAACTTAACAATAATTTGCTATTTTAATTCATAGTGGGGTATGTTCAAAGACCTCTTATGGGAGTATAAAAAGTAAAGTAAAAAAACCATCTACTTATTACGATAGGGTTAGCAACAATATAATATTGTAAACAGTTTTCAATGTATCAAGGCAATATAACAGAAATTATACGAACTTTGCGGTAAAATAAAAAATTTCAAAAATATATATATTTTAATCCTCTTAAAATAAAATTACCTTGATTGCCAAATAAAACTAATATTTTTTTTTTTATGTTTGCTTCCAGCAACCACTAATCAGAGTTAAAGGATACCGAAAGCAAAGAGATGAAGATTGTAAAAAAAGATAACGATGAAAAGAAAACATAAAAGTTGCAAATAATTTGATCTAGGAAATATACTATTGTAGCAATATACTGTTGTGAATTTCAGCAATAAACTATTCTCAACTTTATGGCAGCAATATTCTATTGTAAAACTTTTTGAAATTATCTATCAATTTGATGAAAAAGTATTTAATTTTCCTGTTAAAAAGAATAAAAGTGCAAAACATTGAGTATAAAATCCTTTTGAAATTAACTAAAATAAATACACTTGAAAAACAAGACACTTATTTTGTTATGATTAGCACCATATATTGTTTTAAAGAAATTTGAGTATATCTTCGCAATATAACACAAAGTATACGAATTTCAATTAAAAAAAAAAATGGTGTAAAACATGAAATATAAAATCTTCTTAAAACAAAAGCACCTAATTGCCTGATAAAACTGACTTTATTAGTTAAAAAAAAAAAAACATTTTAAAATTTGCTATGCTTACCAGACGATGATGGAGGATTGGGGTTCTCAGTATCTAAATATAAACAAAAAATTTCTTTTTAATCTATTTGTATTTATTTTTCTGTAAATTACTGTGTGATTAGATATTAATATAATAACCGATCAAATATCTGCATGTTTAAAAAGTAATGTTAAATATCTATTACTGAAAAACATATCGATAAGTCTCAAGCCTAAAAGATTTAAAGTTTGTAAGTTAAACAACATTAAAAAAATTTTATAGTTAAATACTAAATGTAAACAAAAAAAGTAGAAAAATTTATTAACAATTGTTCTGTTTTAATTCATTGTCGTTTATGATCAAATACAGCTTAAGGCAACTTTAAAATATAAACCAAAACAACCATACACTTACTATCATAAAGTTAGCAACTACATATTATTGTAAATGTTTTTTAATTTATTTATGCAATATAACAGAAAGTATACAAATATTATGTTAAAAGATACAATGTGCAAAACATGGATTATAAAATAATTATGTAATAAATGTACCTTAGTTGCATTATAAAACCTCCTTAATTGGATGAGAAAAACAAATCATCCTGATAACTGTTAAACTTACCAGAAGAAGCCAGATGATTGGTAATCTCAGTATCTATAAAAAGCAAAATAATATTTTGAATCTATTTGTATGCATTTTTATATAAATTACAGCATGAATAGATTTCATAATTATAACCATTAAAAGGACTGCATGTTAAAAACATAAGGTTGAATATCTACGACAAAAAATCTAAACAATAAGTCCGAAACATAAGCATTAAAATTTCATAAGTTAAACACTATTAATAACAATTAATATTCAAGAACATAATATGTAAAAAAAAAAAAACTTAACAATAATTAGCTATTTTAAATCATTGTTGGGTATGATCAAAGACCTCTTATGGTAGTATAAAAAATAAAGTAAAAAACTAAAAATCTACTTATTACGATAGGGTTAGCAACAATATAATATTGTAAACAGTTCTCAATGTATCAAGGCAATATAACAGAAAGTATACGAACTTTACGGTAAAATATAAATTTCTAAAACATATATATTTTAATCCTCTTAAAATAAAATTACCTTGATTGCAAAATAAAACTAAATTTTTTTTTTTTTATGTTTGCTTCCAGCAACCACTAATCAGAGTTAAAGGATACCGAAAGCAAAGAGATAAAGATTGTAAAAAAAGATAACGATGAAAAGAAAACATAAAAGTTGCAAATAATTTGATCTAGGAAATATACTATTGTAGCAATATACTGTTGTGAATTTCAGCAATAAACTATTCTAAACTTTATGGCAGCAATATTCTATTGTAAAACTTTTTGAAATTATCTATCAATTTGATGAAAAAGTATTTAATTTTCCTGTTAAAAAGAATAAAAGTGCAAAACATTGAGTATAAAATCCTTTTGAAATTAACTAAAATAAATACACTTGAAAAACAAGACACTTATTTTGTTATGATTAGCACCATATATTGTTTTAAAGAAATTTGAGTTTATCTTCGCAATATAACACAAAGTATACGAATTTCAATTAAAAAAAAAAATGGTGTAAAACATGAAATATAAAATCCTCTTAAAACAAAAGCACCTAATTGCCTGATAAAACTGACTTTATTAGTTAAAAAAAAAAACATTTTAAAATTTGCTATGCTTACCAGACGATGATGGAGGATTGGGGTTCTCAGTATCTAAATTTAAACAAAAAGTTTCTTTTTATTCTATTTGTATTTAATTTTCTGTAAATTACTGTGTGATTAGATATTAATATAATAACCGATCAAATATCTGCATGTTTAAAAAGTAATGATAAATATCTATTACTGAAAAACATATCGATAAGTCTCAAGCCTAAAGGATTTAAAGTTTGTAAGTTAAACAACATTAAAAATATTTTATAGTCAAATACTAAATGTAAACAAAAAAAGTAGAAAAATTTATTAACAATTGTTCTGTTTTAATTCATTGTCGTTTATGATCAAATACAGCTTAAGGCAACTTTAAAATATAAACCGAAACAACCATACACTTAATATCATAAAGTTAGCAACTACATATTATTGTAAATGTTTTTTAATTTATTTATGCAATATAACAGAAACACAATATGTAAAAAAAAAGTATACGAATTTTAATTAAAAAAAGTATACGAATTTAAATTAAAAAAACATGTTGTAATACATGGAATATAAAATCCTCTCAAAACAAAAGATCCTTAATTGCCTGATAAGAGATACTTTATGAGATAAAAAAAAAAATTCATCTTAAAAATTGCTGAGCTTACCAGACGATGATGGAGGATTGGGGTTCTCAGTATCTAAATTTAAACAAAAAATTTTATTAATCTATATGTATTTACTTTATATAACTTACTGCGTGATTCGATATCAATATAATAACCGATAAAATATCTGCATGTTTATAAAGTAAGGTTAAATATCTATGACTAAAAAACATATCGATAAGTCTCTAGCCTAATGGATTTGAAGTTTGTAAGTTAAACAAAATTAACAACGTTTTATAGTCAAATACTAAATGTTAAAAAACAAAAAATTAATTATAATTTGCTGTTTTAACTCATTGTCAATTATGAATAAATACCTCTTGAGGCAATTGAGATAAATAAACCGAAACAACCATACACTTAAAATTATTTAATTACTAACTACATATTATTAATAATATTTTCAAATTTATTTATGCAATATAACAAGAAAGTATTTGAATTTTAAGTTAAAAGATACATAGTGCAAAACAAGGAGTATTAGATATTTTTCTAATAAATGTACCTTAATTGCGTGATAAATTCTCCTTTATTAAATGAAAAAAACAAGTCATCCTAATAACTGTTAAACTTACCAGAAGCTGGATGAATAATGTTTCCAGTATCTATAATAAACAAAACATTATTTTACAATCTATTCATTTTTATTTTTATATAAATTACAGCATAATTGAACTCCATAACTATAACTCATTAAGCAACTGCATGCTAAAAACATAAGGTTTATTATATGTGACAATAAATCTAAACGATAAGTCCCAAACAGAAGGATTAAAATTTTGAAAGTTAAACTCTATGATTAACAATTAATATTCAAGAACTAAATATGTAACAAAAAAAAATTTAACAATAAATTGCTGTTTTAAATCATTGTGGGGTATGATCAAAGACCTCTTAAGGTAGTTTAAAAAAAACAACAGAAAAACTATCTACTTAATAGGATAGAGTTAGCAACAATATAATAATGTAAACAGTATTATTATATTTTGATGTATATAAGCAATAAAACAAAAATTATACAACCTTTACAGTAAAAGAAACAATTTCTAAAATATGGATTTTAAAATCCTTTTAAACTAAAAGTATCTAGATTGCCTAATAAGAATTTTTTTTTTTTTTTTTTTTTAAATATTTGCTTCCACTAACCACTAATCAAAGTTGGAGTTTACTAGCAGGAAAAAGATAAAGATTGTAGACTAAGAAAACGATGGACAGATGACTTAAAAGATTGCAAATTATATGAATCAGGAAATATACTATTGTAGCAATATACTGTTGTAAATTTTAGCAATGAAGTATTGCAAATTTTAGAGCAGCAATATACTATTGTCAATATTTTTAAAATTATCATTAAATATAAGCGAAAGTATATAATTTTCTAGTTGAAAAGAATTAAAGTGAAAAAAATGGAGTATAAAATTCTTTTGAAATTAACTAAAATAAATACACTTAAAAATCAAGACACTTATTTTGTTATGATTAGCACCATATATTGTTTTAAAGAAATTTCAGTTTATCTTCGAAATATAACACAAAGTATACGAATTTCAATTAAAAAATAAAATGGTGTAAAACATGAAATATAAAATCCTCTTAAAACAAAAGCACCTAGTTGCCTGATAAAACCTACTTTATTAGTTAAAAAAAAAAAAAAACATTTTAAAATTTGCTATGCTTACCAGACGATGATGGAGGATTGGGGTTCTCAGTATCTAAATATAAACAAAAAGTTTCTTTTTAATCTATTTGTATTTATTTTTCTGTAAATTACTGTGTGATTAGATATTAATATAATAACCGATCAAATATCTGCATGTAACGTAAGGTTAAAAATGTACGGTTGAAAGTCTATGACAGAAAAACTAATCAATAAGTCTCAAGCCTGAAGGATTAGAAGTTTGTAAGTTAAACATTATTAAAAATGTCTTATAGTCAAATACCAAATGTAAACAAAAAAAGTAGAAAAATTTATTAACAATTATTCTGTTTTAATTCATTGTCGAATATGATCAAATACAGCTTAAGGCAACTTTAAAATATAAACCGAAACAACCATACACTTAATATCATAAAGTTAGCAACTACATATTATTGTAAATGTTTTTTAATTTATTTATGCAATATAACAGAAAGTATACAAATATTATGTTAAAAGATACAATGTGCAAAACAAGGAATATAAAATAATTATGTAATAAATGTACCTTAGTTGCATTATAAAATCTCCTTAATTGGATGAGAAAAACAAATCATCCTGATAACTGTTAAACTTACCAGAAGAAGCCAGATGATTGGTATTCTCAGTATCTATAAAAAGCAAAATAATATTTTGAATCTATTTGTATGCATTTTTATATAAATTACAGCATGAATAGATTTCATAATTATAACCATTAAAAGGACTGCATGTTAAAAACATAAGTTTGAATATCTACGACAAAAATTCTAAACAATAAGTCCGAAACAGAAGGATTAAAATTTCATAAGTTAAGCACTATTAATAACAATTAATATTCAAGAACTTAATATGTGAAAAAAAAAAAACTTAACAATAATTAGCTATTTTAAATCATTGTGGGGTATGATCAAAGACCTCTTATGGTAGTATACAAAATAAAGTAAAAAAACTAAAAATCTACTTATTACGATAAGGTTAGCAACAATATAATATTGTAAACAGTTCTCAATGTATCAAGGCAATATAACAGAAAGTATACGAACTCTACGGTAAAATATAAATTTCTAAAACATATATATTTTAATCCTCTAAAAATAAAATTACCTTGATTGCCAAATAAAACTAAATTTTTTTTTTTTTCATGTTTGCTTCCAGCAACCACTAATCAGAGTTAAAGGATACCGAAAGAGATGAAGATTGTAAAAAAAGATAACGATGAAAAGAAAACATAAAAGTTGCAAATAATTTGATCTAGGAAATATACTATTGTAGCAATATACTGTTGTGAATTTCAGCAATAAACTATTCTCAACTTTATGGCAGCAATATTCTATTGTAAAACTTTTTGAAATTATCTATCAATTTGATGAAAAAGTATTTAGTTTTCCTGTTAAAAAGAATAAAAGTGCAAAACATTGAGTATAAAATCCTTTTGAAATTAACTAAAATAAATACACTTAAAAACAAGACACTTATTTTGTTATGATTAGCACCATATATTGTTTTAAAGAAATTTTAGTTTATCTTCGCAATATAACACAAAGTATACGAATTTCAATTAAAAAAAAAAATGGTGTAAAACATGAAATATAAAATCCTCTTAAAACAAAAGCACCTAAATGCCTGATAAAATCTACTTTATTAGTTAAAAAAAAAAAAACATTTTAAAGTTTGCTATGCTTACCAGACGATGATGGAGGATTGGGGTTTTCAGTATCTAAATATAAACAAAAAGTTTCTTTTTAATCTATATGTATTTATTTTTCTGTAAATTACTGTGTGATTAGATATTAATATAATAACCGATCAAATATCTGCATGTTTAAAAAGTAATGTTAAATATCTATTACTGAAAAACATATCGATAAGTCTCAAGCCTAAAAGATTTAAAGTTTGTAAGTTAAACAACATTAAAAATATTTTATAGTCAAATACTAAATGTAAACAAAAAAAGTAGAAAAATTTATTAACAACTGTTTTGTTTTAATTCATTGTCGTTTATGATCAAATACAGCTTAAGGCAATTTTAAAATATAAACCAAAACAACCATACACTTAATATCATAAAGTTAGCAACTACATATTATTGTAAATGTTTTTTATTTTATATATGCAATATAACAGAAAGTATACAAATTTTATGTTAAAAGATACAAAGTACAAAACAAGGAGTATTAAAAAGTTATGCAATAAATGTACCTAAGTTGCGTTATAAAACCTCCTTTATTGGATGAAAAAAACAAATCATCCTGATAACTGTTAAACTTACCAGAAGAAGCTGGATGATTGGTATTCTCAGTATCTACAAAAAGCAAAATAATATTTTGAATCTATTTGTATGCATTTTTATATAAATTACAGCATGAATAGATTTCATAATTATAACCATTAAAAGGACTGCATGTTAAAAACATAAGGTTGAATATCTACGACAAATAATCTAAACGAATAGTCCCAAACATTAGGATTAAAATTTTGTAAGTTAAACACTATTAATAACAATTAGAGCTCAAGAACTAAATATGTAAAAAAAAAAAAACTTAACAATAATTTGCTATTTGAAATCATAGTGGGGTATGATCAAAGACCTCTTATGGTAGTATAAAAAATTAAAGTAAAAAATTTATCTGCATATTACAATAGGGTTAGCAAAAATATAATATAATAAACAGTTTTTAATGTGTCAAGGCAATATAACAGAAAGTATACAAACTTTGCGGTAAAATTACCAGACGGTTGCGGTTAAACTTACCAGAAGAAGCTGGATGATTAGGATTCTCAGTATCTATAATAAAAAAAGCAGTACTTTTTATTCTATTTGTATTCATTTTTATAAATCTAACTGCATGATTTGACATTATAATTATAACTAATGAAACATCTGCATGCTGCAAATTTAAAGGTAAAAGTGAACGACAAAAAAACTAATTGATAAGTCCTAAACTGAAGGAATAAAACTTTGTAAGTTAAACAACAATATTTACGTTATATATATTTAAGAGCTAAATAAGAAACAAAAAAGAAACGTATTGACAATAATTTGCTGTTTTATTTAATTGCAGATTATGATCAAACAACAGGCAGTTTGAAAAAAACAAACAAAAAAAAAAACAAACTTGTTATATGATGAGAAGCAAAAAATAATTGTAAATATTTTTAAAATATATATTAAATATAGCAGAAAGTATACAATTTTCAAGTTGAAAAGAAACAAAGTGCAAAACATGGAGTATAAAATCGTCTTGAAATAAAAATACCTTAGTTGCGTGATAAGACCTATTTTATTAGGTAAAAAAAAAACAAATCAACCTCAAAACTGTTTAGCTTACCAGAAGAAGCTGGATGAATGTGATTCTCAGTATCTATTATAAATAAAACATTATTTTTTTATCTCTTTGAATTCGGTTTTATAAAACTTACTGCATAACTTGCCGTCATTATTATAATCAAATAAACATCTAGATGTTAGAAACCTAAAGTTTAATTCATTGTTTGTTATGATCAAACACTTTTTGAGGCAATTTATAAAAATAAACTAAAAAAATATTCATTTTATAAGATTAGCAGCAATATATTATTAAAAATGTTTTTAATTTATCTATTAAATATAACAATTTGTACAATTTTTATATTGGAAAGTAACAAAATGCATAACATGGAGTATATACTTCGCTTGAATTAAAAGTGCCTTATTTTCGCGATAAGACCTATTTAATTGGATGAAAAAAAAAACATTCTAAAATTGTTGTTGGTCTAAAAATAACTTCATGTTGAAAACTTAATGATAAAAATTAATCAAAATCTAATCTAAATCAAGTCTCAAAATAGAGGATTAAAATTTTTCAGGTAAAACTAATTTAACAACGTTTTATAATTAAGAACTAAATAGGGAACAAAAAATACAAAAATATAATAATAATTTTCTGTTTTAATTTATTGTCGGTATGATCAAACACCTCTGGAGGCAATTTAAAAAAATAACCTTAAAAAACCATACATTTATTAACATAATAATATAAATGTTTTTTAACTTATCTAATAAATATAACAGAAAGTATAAGATTTTCTAGTAGATCAGAAACAAAGTGTGGAGTATAAAGTTCTCTTAAAATAAAAGTACCTTAATTGACTGTTTAGACCTACTTTATTTGATGAAAAAAACAAATCATCCTAAAAACTGTTAAACTTACCAATAGAAGCTGGAGGGTTGGAATTCTCCGTGTCTATAATAAAAAATTTTTTTTTTTATCTTTTTTGTATTTATTTTTAGAAATTTTACTGCTTGATTCGACACCATATTTTAAATCATTAGAAAATTTGCATGTTGGAAAATTATGGTTAAAAAACTACAACAAAACAACTAATAGATTATTTGCAAAAATCGAGAACGAAATTATATTAGATTAAACATTATATAAGATTAAACATTGAAATTATATTAGATTAAACATTGAAATTATATTAGATTAAAAAAGATCAATAATGTTTTATTTTAAAGGACTAAACTTTAAACAAAAATAAAACAAAATTTAACAGTAACTTGCTGTTTTAGTTTTTTGTGTAGAATGACCCTAACCCTAACCCTAACCCTAAACCCTAACCCTAAACCCTAACCCTAAACCCTAACCCTAAACCCTAACCCTAACCCTAAACCCTAACCCTGAGGCAGTTTAAAAAATTAAACTTAATAAAACTATCTTTTGAAATACACTTATTACGATATGATTAGCAGCAAAATAATATTGTGAATGTTTTTTAATTTATCTATAAAATACGACAGAAAGTACACAATTTTTATGTTAAAAACAACAAAGTGCTAGACATTGAGTATAAATTCCACTTGAAAAAAAATACCATAATTGCCTGATAAGACCTAATTAATGTATAAAACAAATCATCTTAAACATTTGTTAGCTTACCAGTAGAAGCTGGAAAATCAGGATTCCTTAATCCTAAAAAAAAGACATTTAAAAAAATAAAGAAAAATAAAAAAATAAATAAAAAAATATTTTTTTTTATCTTTATGGCATCAAATGGTAAATGTTATAAATCTTTTAATAAAATAATTAAAACACTAATATAAGATCTCATAAACATTGACAATGTCTTTTAATAAACCTTTCTTAAAATACTTTTTTATAAAATTTTTTATAAAAGCATCATTTAAGTGACACATTCAACCATTATGCAACAGTTAAGCCAATCGCAGCATTATAAATTTGTTTTTTAGGCATATTTTTTATAAAAACAAAATAAACTTTAAAAATAATTGATATTTTAAAAATAAAAATAAAATTTTTGACATGGAACAAATAAAGCTATATAAATATAAAAAGTATTACTTATGAAATTGTCTTATTAAGATAAAAAAAAAACATTAAAAAAAAAATATGAGGTCAAGAATGCTACAAAAAAAAAGGGTGATTGAAAAAAATTTAACTGCTAAAAAATAAAACTCTCATAAAAATACAGATGCCTAAAGCAGCCTCTTACACACCTTATTTATAAAGTAACTATTTCTATTCGTTTTTTTATAACTTACTGCATGATTCGCCATCATGATTATTACCATTTACACATTTGCATGTTGTAAGCTTAAAGTTAAGAAACTATGACAAAACAACTGATGAATTATTTGCAAAATGCGACAATAATGTTTATGATATTTTATATACAAGAACTAAATATTAAACAAAAATGAAAAAAATTTTAACAATAACTTGCTGTTTTAATTCATTGTGAGGTATGGTCACACACCACTTTAAGGGATAAACTCAAAAAACCTAATACTGAAATATAGTTATTATAATAATAATAAGAGCAAAATATTATTGCGAATGTTCATCAATTTATCTATTAAATGAAACAAAAAGTGTACAATTTTCAAGTTAAAAGAGGCAAAGTGCAAATCTTAATGTCCTGAAAACATCTAACTTATTCAATGAAAAAAACAAATCATTTTCAAATCTGTTAAGCTTACCAGTAGAATCTGGAGGGTTGGGATTTTCTAATTCTATAATAAACAAAATATTTTTTATTAATCTACATAGCATTAAAATAATAAATATTAAAAAAAAAAAAAATAAAAAACTATTTATAAAAATTTACTAATTTAACATTTAATAAAATAACTATAACACTATTTTTTTTTTTTTTCTTTTTAAACCTTTGCTTCCAACAAGGATGCAAGCTACCAACATAAGTGTCGGAAGATACTGGAAGAAAAAATATTAAGTTTGTAGAGCAAGATAAAGATTGACAGACAACTTAAAAGATTGAAAATTATATGAATCAGGAAAGCAAGATGAAAGAAGCGAATTCTAAAGAACTGATGTTTGAGGAAAAAATCTAGAACAAGAGTTTTTGGAGCACTTGAGAACAGTCACAGAAAAAAGATGAGACTTAATTAAATGACAAGTAACAAAAGAATCAATTTTAGCAGATAGCACAAGGGACTCTAGTTTTATAGAGCAGTGCTTATTATAGTATTTGTTGAAAAGAGAAATAGATGCAACATTACGACAATGTTGTGATGGATGAAAGTTGGCTGCAAGAGCAGGTCCAACTATCTTTTTTTCACCTTGTCTAAAAAAAGTATGGCATCATTAGATAATTCCCTCCCCAAACCTCCCCAACCTATTATCAGGTATGGCAACAGAATACCATGCATGCCAAATTTGAGATTTATAGAGAAAGAGAATTAGAATCCGGAGTAAGAAAGTGTCGAGCTCGATAAAAACATGTAATCTTAGCGGATGCTAAATTTGCAACGGATTTAAAATACGGTTTCTAAGAAAGATCGGAAATAAAAGTTAATCCTAGAAAATGAAGGGTAGATGACTTCTAGTACATTACTGCTCATAAAAATAGGAAAATCTAAATTATTGCGAAAAATATTGGCTGAAAAAAATTTAGTTTTATCTGAATTTAAGTTTACTAGGCACTGTGAGCCCAATACTGTAGCAGAAGTGGGATTCTTTTTCAATTCAAATGCCCCCTCCAGACAGTCAGAGAATGTTAGCATGCTATGACAAGAATAAATGATAATACCATCAGCGAACAATGCTACCTTGATGTGAAAATATCTGGAAGATTCTTAATTTAAATTAAAAAGAGTAAAGGGCCATGGTCTGAACCTTGAGAAACTCCTGAAGTTACAGAGTGCTGTCCATTGAGGACAACTTTTATACTACAATTGGAAAGAAAGGATTCAACAATCTTAAATATGTTACCAGATACACCCTAAGAAAAAAGCTTACAGAGACGATCAGCATGCAAAACTTTGTTAAAAGCGTACTAAAGATAAACTAACGTAAACTTTTATAAACATAAACACTGTCATTTATAAAAATTTCTTGAAATAATCTTGTCATGTAAATGTTATTCGAATTGAGAGAAAAAAACTCTTAGCATTTAATTAAAATAATTATTGATTTTTAAAACTTAAGCATCCTTTGCGTCACACATTCAACCATCATGCAACAGTTAATAAGCTAATCACAGCATTATATATATATATATATATATATATATATATATATATATATATATATATATATATATATATATATATATATATATATATATATATATATATATATATATATATATATATATATGTATATATATATATATATATATATATATATATATATATATATATATATACATATATATATATATATATATATATGTATATATATATATATATATATATATATATATATATATATATATATATATATATGTATATATATATATATATATATATATATATATATATATATATATATATATATATATATATGTATATATATATATATATATATGTATATATATATATATATATATGTATGTATATATATATATATATATATATATATATATATATATATATATATATATATATATATATATATATATATATATATATATATATATATATATATATATATATATATATATATATATATATATATATATATATATATATATATATATATAATAAAAATTTTTACATGTTTTTTATGACTTTTTAGGACAAATTAGAACGAATTTAGGACATTTTAGAACAATCTAATCTTATATATAAGTTTTTGGATTTAATTTTTTAAATTTAGGTTAGAGAAATATTGACCCCCTAATTTCAATAATTATTAATATATCAATGGTCAGGTCAGGTTATCCTGCTACTGGTAACATGTAACCCAGTACAACCTGCTTCATGTCCTGCTGCCTTGTAGGATACGCTTTTTTAGGCAAAGGCTAGGAGAAGTTAACTCCGAATTAAAACACCCCCTGCCTTGGGGCTCTTGGTTGAGTAAAGGCTAGAGATGGTGTCTCGATAAAAATACTCATCTTGGGCAGATGTTACATGCATCCAGCTGCTGTCTTGTAGAAGGCCTCCTAGGCAAAGACTTAAGGGGTAAACAGATTCTATCTGTTGACCAGCCTCGCACCCCTTCCTCATCTATTAGGCTGGCGCAGATGTATTTTTAATACATTGTTTCCAGTATAGGATGTTGAATGCTGGATCTCCTTGACTCAATGCGTGGGTATTGCTTGTGTCTCTATTTTTACGACTGGGCAACTCATTCTATTATCTCCTAATGAGGGTACAGCTCTTAAACTCAGTTTTATGGTTCTGAGGCCGGCTGGTAGTCAGGTTTTCAGAACTCTGTGGTAGGCTGATTCCATCAACAGCCGAAAAATATCAGAGTACTAACAGTGCCATGTTGCGCATGGATTGTGTCCCTGTTTGTACTTTTGGTGTGCATTGCAGAGGCCACATTTGGAGCCCTTTGTTACGGCTTAGGGTTTATTAATAGTAATAAGGCTATTGCTTAGTTGTTAAATAGTGTACTGAGTACTATCTATACTAGAGTCAAGTTCTTTATAAATTCAAAATGACTAAAGTACCTAAAACTAAAAAAAAAAAAAAACAACCATCGTCATCACCAAGTTCTCTAAACCTATCATTTACTAATATTCGTGGTCTTCGAAGTAACTTTTCTTCTGTTGAGTCTTATCTCTTGCAAAGTTCACCAGACCTACTTGCTCTTTGTGAGACTAATTTGAGTTCGGCTGTCCCATCTTGTGATCTTAGTGTTGATGGTTATCTTCCTTTAATTCGTAAAGACTCCAATAATCACATGCTTGGCCTGGGCATCTACATTCGTAAGAACTCACCCATTTGTCGTGAAACTAGGTTTGAATCTACAAACTATTCATTTATGTGCTTTCGTTTAGCACAACTTCACTCTATCGCCTTTCTCTTTGTTCTATATCGCTCTCCTTCATCCCAAGATTGCACTATTCTTGATACTATTTCTGATCTAATTGACCAAGCCCTCTCTCTTTATCCATCGGCCAATATCGTCGTTGTTGGTGACTTTAATGCCCATCACACCGATTGGCTTGGCTCTAGTGTCAGTGACTCTGCTGGCGTTAAGGCCCTCAACTTTTGCCTTTCTCAATCTCTAACTCAAATAGTCAACTTTCCAACTCGTTTTCCAGACAACCCTAATCATTTACCTTCTCTACTCGACTTATGTCTTGTTTTGGATCCTAGTCAGTGCTCAATTTCTCCACATTCACCCTTAGGTACTTCTGATCACGGTTTGATCTCTCTAAAACTATTATCAAACTCTTCTACTTCATCAGAATCCCCCTATCATCGTACCACATACAACTACCTTAAAGCTGACTGGGACTCTTTCCGTGATTTTCTTCGTGATGGCCCTTGGGTAGAAATCTTTTGTCTTCCTGCTGACAAATGTGCTTCTTACATAACTTCGTGGATTCAGGCTGGCATGGAATCTTTTATTCCCTCTCGACGATTCCAGGTCAAGCCTCATTCTTCTCCTTGGTTTTCCTAACATTGCGCTGCAGCAATTTCTAATCGAAACCGTTACTTCCATATCTATCAGCAAAACAATTCTCCAGAAAACAGACATCTGTTCACTATCGCCAGAAACCATTGTAAAAAGGTTTTGTCTGACGCCAAAGCTCGCTATTCTCAGGTCATTAAATCTCGTATCTCATCACAAAAATTAGGCTCTCGAGACTTCTGGAGAATCTTTAAAAGTATCAATAATAAGGGCAAATCTGTTATTCCTTCTCTCTTGTATGGTTCAGACTTTGTCACCTCACCTAAAGACAAAGCTGAATTGTTTGCTAAGAACTTTTCATCAATATCATCTCTCGATTCCACTAGTTTTGTTTTACCTGACATAGCTGTCAAACAGGTTGATCCCTTGCTTGACATTCGCATCACTTCAGCTTCTGTATCAAAAGTAATTTCCTGCTTAGACTCTTCAACAGCATGTGGTCCTGACAACATTCCTGTTGTAGTCTTGCAGAGGTGTTCTCCGGAGCTTTCATCCATACTTTCAAAACTATTTAACAAGTGCTTATCAGAGTCTTGTTTTCTATCATGCTGGAAAGCAGCATCTGTTATCCCTATTTTCAAAAATTCTGGAGAGCGATCTGATTCATCTAACTACCGTCCCATTAGTCTTCTTCCTGTCATTAGCAATGTTTTTGAATCTTTAATCAACAAACACTTAATCTCTCATCTTGAATAAAATAACTTACTTTCTGATCATCAATATGGATTTCGGTCTTCTCGTTCTACAGCTGATGTGCTAACCGTGCATTAGATAGAGGTGGAGAAGTTAAGGCTATCGCAAGTTAAGGCTAAGGCTACCCTGACTTAACATTTCTAAAGCTTTTGATAAAGTTTGGCATGCTGGTCTTCTCCATAAGCTTTCTTCTTATGGTGTAGCTGGTAACATCTTTAAGATTATTGAGTCCTTTCTTTCCAATCGTTGTATAAAAGTTGTCCTCGATGGACAATACTCTTCTTCACATCCTGTAACTCCAGGGGTTCCTCAAGGTTCAATCCTTGGCCCTATACTCTTTTTAATTTACATTAACGATCTTCCAGATATTCTCACATCTAAGGTGGCATTATTCGCTGACGACACTACCATTTACTCTTGTCATGATAAG